GAGAGAGGAGAAAGAGAATTGCGTGTTGAGGGGTTGTGGGATAAAAAGAGGAGGGAGAGCGAGAAGGGCGGCCTCGGCTAGTCAAGTTTGGCTTAAAAAGGCTCGGGGGTCGATAGGATTGATAGATGGGGCCCCCACGGGTTGGGGAGATGGGTGGTAACCGGTAAGCGGTCAAACTAGTCGGATTAAATCGGCTAATCAGGAGATGGTTAAAGTTACCTAACTAGAGTTAAGGTGATTGCTGGGAATTTGGATCATCTCAGCCGAACAAAAAAAGAAAATAGTGGAGAGACCACTATTCTTAATCTTATCCGTTGATTATTTCGTAGGCAGTTATGATACGATCTAATTTTACTTCTCATCATACCCTCATATGTTGCGCTCATTCCTAATTTACACTCAGAGGGGTGTTAGTTTAATTGTGACATTTTCATGCAAAACGGGATAATTATTGAAGTAGAATAATTTTTCGCTAAAGGAATATTTTAGTGGGATAAATAGGAATAATTTTGTGAAGTGGGATATTTTGATAAAATAACGTGGGATAAATTTTTATAATCATGAAATAGGCTAAAATACCAAATTGGTATATTTATACGAACGCTTTTGTCGGTTTGTTATTTTTAAAAACTCCGGCGATGACAAGACATTAATTCTCGTCCTTTTTGTCAATAAGACCCTTTTCTCAAAACTCCGACGAGAAATTTTGTTTTAAACACATTACCTCCCAAAATTATTACAAGTTAAACCCACAATTATCAAAAAAAAAATTCATCCCCTCCCTCTCCCCCTCCTCTTCCTCATTGTCGTCGTCAACGTCCTCCTGCCGGTTCTTGCCGATGGTCGGATTGGATGAGATCTTCGCAAGATTTTCACTCGGATTATATTGTGGTTGCACGGAGTTCGAGGATTGGGACGGCGTATCATGCTGTTCTTCGTGATGGGTCAGTGTTGACGGTGAAGAGGCTTTATGATTGTCTGTTATCGTAGAAGCAGTTTAGGGCTGAGATGGGGAGGATGGGCAGATTAGTCATCTGAATTTGGTTCCTTGCTTGGCTATTGTGTTGTTGAAGAAGAGAAGCTTTTGATTTACAAGAATATGGCGAATGGAGCACTTTCGTTGATGAATAGGGATGGGGGTCATGGTTTGGACTAGCCGACGATGTTGAGGATTGGGGTTGGGGGTTCGTGAGGGCTGGCTTGGCTTCTCCATGGGTTTCAAATTCCTTTCTTGCATCAAAATGTTAGCTCGAGGTGTGCTTATTGATGAAGAGTATGAGCACAAAGTCAGTGATTTTGGTCTGGCCAGGCTAATGAGGCCTTGGACCTCCGACGAGGGTTTGAACACGACTCCATTCTTGAATGGGAATTTTGGGGAGTTTGGGTATATTGCACCAAAGTATGCAACCAATCCGGTGCCAAGCACAAAAGGGGATGTTTATGGATTTGGGGTTGTTTTACTTGAGCTTGCAACTGAACAAAAGGCTACTGAGGTGAGTCGTGATGGGTCGGCGTATCAACTCGTTGTTGCTGGTAAAATTCGTGAAGTTATTCATAAACAGTTGAGAGGGAATGGGCATGATGATAAAATTGTAGAGTTCTTGAAGGTTGCTTGTGGATGTGAGGGGAGGAGAGGGAATAGGAGAGGAGGAGGACGTTGATGACGATGATGAGTAAGAGGAGGGGGAGAGGGAGGGAATGAATTTCGGGGAGAGGGAGGAGATGAATTTGTTTTGATAGTTGTGGGCACAAATTTAATAATTTTGTGAGGCAAGGGGTTTAAAACAAAATTTCTCGTCGGAGTTTTGAAAAAAGGATCTTATTGAGAAAAAGGACGAGAATTAATGTCTTGTCGTCACCGGAGTTTTTAAAAATACCAAACTAGCAAAAGCGTTCGTATAAATATACCAATTTGGTATTTTAGCCTCATGAAATATATATTTATGCATTTTGAATATATAAATACTATTTATATATTTTAATTTTTTTTAGTTTTTGGTCAATGAAAAGAAACTTTATTCATCTCCCAAATGTGAAAATTAGCACATCAAGTTTCTCAGTAGAACTGAGAATTACAAGATACTCCTAAACAACTAATACATCTCTCAGCCTCAAGAATTACAGAGAACATATCTATTCTCTTTTTTAGCAGTAAATGAACCCTTGAGAATAACAGCTAAAATGTTAAATTTAATCTCCTTAAACAGTTGATCAGCTGTTTTCAGTTCCTGTTTAAAAATTCTGGCATCCCTCTCATTCCAAATGCTATAAATTGTTGAGGCAAGAGCCATTTTCTTTAGCTTTTTCTTGAATCCTCTCCCCCTCAGCCTGGTACAAAACCAGTTTAAAATTTGATTCCAATTGCACGATCTCCACCTGAACTGTAACCAATCCATAACCATGACCCAAACTTCCCTAGAAGAGCAACATTCAAAAAAGAGATGATTTCTGCTCTCAGAACCAGAGCAAAAACTACAGTTGTTAATATTAACTATACCTCTCCTTATCAGTCTGTCTTGGGTGAGCAAATGATCCTGAACTGCTAACCAACTAACAAATGAGTGTTTGGGGGTAGTTTGTAGTCTCCCAAACTGTGCTATACCAAGGCACTAAAGTAGATGCATGGGAGAGAGCAACATATAGAGTTGATAACTGAATTTTTGAATTCTTGTAATAAGAATGAATGATCTGCTTCAGATTGTCAACACCCTAAAATAATCCACGAGCCTTGTCTCTGACCTTCAAAATCTGCTTCCACATCCATGAATCACTATTATTTGCCTGAACATGCCGAACATCATTGTTTTTTAAATATGTGTCGTGTATCCACTTGATCCATAGATTTTCTTTATTGACATGGATATTCCAGAGTAACCTCAGTGTTGTAGCCATACTCCATGTAGAAGCAGAATAGATGTCTAGACCATCAAACTTCTTATTCAAGCAGGTTTTATCCCATGAAATAAGAGGAATTTTATGAACCTGCTCAGATTTTCCCCACATAAAATTCCCGCACAATTCATCTATTTTCTGGAGCACTCTCACTGGGAAAACATAATTTGATGTCCAGTAGTTTTGTACACCAAGGACAACACTTTTGATTATTTGTAATCTGCCGGCATAAGACAAAAATCTGTTTTTCAAGCAAGCCTAAAATTGTCATGATATCTTGCTGAAGAGAGTGGAACAATCCATGTAGGATAATCGTTTACATATCAGAGGAACTCCCAGATATGTGATGGGCAAGACACCCTCAGAGAAATTCAGAAGGTTAGAAACAAGGCCTTTTAGATTTTCATCAATGCCTCCATAAATTTTTTTGCATTTCCCAGGATTAGCTTCTAGTCCTAAAACTACATTGAAGTCCTTGAAGCAATTGTAGAGCAACCTAACTAAATGAAGGTCACATTTGGAGAAGAGGAGAAGATCATCTGCAAAAATTAGATGAGTGATTTTAAGATTACCACATCTAGGATGGAATTTGAAAGACCTGTCATCCTTAAGCATATCCAACTGCCTTGAGAGATATTCCATACCCAGATTGAACAAGTAAGGTGAGAGGGGGTCACCTTGTCTTAAGCCTCTTTCTCCTTTGAAATAGCCATGGAGGGAGCCATTTAAAGAAATAGAATACTTGGGGAAAGTAATACAAGCCATAATCTAATTAACCATCTTGATAGGAAACCCAAGACCTTTTAGCATATCATTTAGGAAATCCCAGATAATATTATCAAAAGCTTTTTTGATATCAATGCTCAGCATAATCCTGGGAGAAATGTGTTTTATGCTATAGTTCTTATCTATCTCATGAGCTAGTAAGATATTACTTGAAATTTACCTTCCTTTCACAAAAGCACTCTGCATCTCATTAATCAAAAACCTCATAACAGACTTAATCCTGTTAGCTAGATTTTTTGAAATTATCATATAGAGGCAATTACAACAGACTATGGGTCTAAAATTAGATGGGGGTCTTGGGGCATTTTATTTTTGGAATCAAAGTGATTGACGTAGCATTGATCATACCTAGAAGCTTACCAATTTTGAAAAAAGCTTCAATGGCCATTGTTACCTCATCTCCAATGATATTCCAAGCTGATTTGTAAAAGGTCATGCTAAACCCATCAGGCCCAGGAGCTTTGTTGTCACCCATGGAGAAGACTGCATTTTTAATTTCCTCTTTGGATACTGGAGAGAACAGGGTTCTAGCATGAGCTTCATTCAAACATGGACCATTGGAAATAATATTACCATCAGGCTTAGATGTTTTTGTAGCTGAGCCCATGAGATTCTTATAGAAGGAAATAAGTTCTTGAATGATCCCTTCACCATCAATTATTCTGCACCCCGCACTGTTGTAGAGCACCGTTACTCTATTAAGATGTCTTTTAGCTTTGATTGCAGAGTGAAAGAAGCTTGAACATCTGTCCCCTTGCACACTCTATTGAATCCTAGATTTCTGGTGATAGAATGACAACTCACACTCCAAAAGTTTGTTGTAAGAAGCAAAGTAAAATTTCCTGATTAATCAAATCAGTGTTGAGAGGATCCTCCTGCGGGTTATTTTGAACATTTTCCAGATTAATCCTTGCCCTGACCACTTGCTCACTGATATTGTGAAAATTTCTTTTGTTTAGATCCTTCAGTGCATTCTTCAGTAGCTTCAATTTGCTTGCAACAGAAAACATAGCACAACCTGCAATTGAGTTTTGCCAAACCGTTGAAGTTATAGGCAAGTAGTTATCATGCTTAATCCACATCTTGAAAAGTTTAAATGGCTTCTTTCCATGCAAACAATCATCATAAATTGATACCAAAGCAGGGGAGTGATCAGAGCAACTGGGAAGCATATACTCAACATGACTAGAGTTGTGCAAGTTTATCCAAGAGTCATTAGTTAAAGCTCTATCCAATCTACTCCAAACCCTGGAATTAGAATCTTGTTTATTATTCCATGTGAAATAGCAGCCTTCAGTTTTCAAATGTGATAGGTAACACATGTCAATAAATTCCCTGAAATCAATGGTTTCAGCCTCAATAGCCATAGCACCTCCTAATTTATCCTCATTACCAGTTATAGTATTGAAGTCACCACATAGAATCCATGCCTTATTCCCAACTGTTTGATGAATTTAGAAAAGTTCATGCCAAAGAGTTTTCCTATTTTCCAAATGGTTATGACCATATATAGAAGAAACTAAACAATCAATTCTACCATCTAAGGATTTAACCAAACATGTAACATGCTGGGCAGAAAGCTTGTCAACATGAACATCCAGAATTAGAATCAATAATCTAGCTTTGCTAGAATTATTTGCATTTGAAATCCACTTCCAATTACCATGAATCTTTCTTGCTATAGCCGGTAGCTTGCTGACCTTAATTTTTGTTTCAATGAGAGCCATGAATGAGATATGATGTTGTTGAATGTGGATCTTAACCAAATGTTGCTTAGAGGGCTTGTTTAGTCCTCTAATATTCTAAAAAGAGAAATTCATATTTTTAAATCACCCCCTTATTCACATATGAGGGGTCATCTTCCAGATTGTTGAGGTGATCAAAAGAGTTTACAAGTGCTGGAAAGCCCTTTAAACCAGATTTTTGCATATCAGAGCAAGTTCTGTTAGCTTGTGAGCTTTTGTTTACTGTAGAATACCAAATTCCATGATCTTGAACTTGCACAACATGTACAAGATTATTTACTGAAGTGCACAGATTTTCGTCAGCCTGTGGATTTATCCCTCTAGGTGAAACCCTAGAAATATGATCCTGCATATGCACAACGTGCACAGAATCAAAATTATTGGGACTCAAACTTTTTCCTCCTGACTGATTGTATATTTTCACTCTATCACCAGACAAGCCAGATTGTAGACCCTTCAGCCTGAGGACATCCCCTTGAAGATTTTTAGCATGATCTTGAGCATGCACAACATGTACATGATTATTTACTGAAGAGCACATATTTCTCTTAGCCTGTGAATTTATCCCTCCATTTGAAACCCCAGAAATATGATCCTGCACATGCACAACGTGCACAGAATCAATACAATGGGGACCCATACTATCTCCACCTGAAGGTTGTAGACCCTTCATCATGAGGATATCCCCTTGCAGATTTTTAGCATAATCAGAATTTGCTTGATTCACAGGTTTTAGTTTTTGCACCCATCTTTTAGTCATGGGGTATCTCTTACAGAAAGCTGTGTCATGCCCCACAAGCTTGCAACTATCACACCATTTAGGCTTAAGCTCATAAATTACCTTTTGATTAAAAATCTTACTATTTGGACCATGAATAGGAAATATATCAGGGAGAGGAGAATGCATATGAACTTCAACTAAAACCCTAGCATATGCCAATCTTTGCTCGCTAGCGGTTAGTTTATCAGTAGTAATTGGCCTTCCAACTTGACTAGCTATTTTACTTATATAGCATTAGAGCTCCACAAATTTAATCTCAGGCCAGGCAGCTGAATCCACAAAGGGTAGACATTTTCATTCATCTTTTCTATGTCTTCATCATTTGACCATAATTTCAACAGGAGGGGCCTAGAACCAAATAACCAAGGGCCATTCACTAAGATATCCTCTACTTCCTATTTGCTTTTGCATTTAAACAAATATAAGCCTGGTTTAAGCAGACACACTTCAGGCACTGACCAATGAGCCCAGACTTTTTGAACATAAGTTTCCATGGTCTTAAACTTTACATTTAACCCTAAAACTTAACCAATTAAAGAAATTTGTCAGTTTGAATTGCCTTCATTCCATTCCTCCTCATTAAAAGTCACAAAATCTTTATTCTCGGGAGTCATAAAATTTAAAGTCATACCACATCCTGCTTTTCTATTATCCACAAAAATGCTAGACCAACTTTTCTTAACTGTTCTGCTTTGAACAAGCTCAGTATTTTCAGAATCCAGAGGAGACACAATCTTGCCATAAATTTTATTCTTATCATGAGAATCCAGAGAAACAGATTCAAGAACTGGATTCAAATTCATAGATTTATCACCATTCATCTCATTTGAATTTAATGAAACAGTAACAGAATCAAGAACATATTTCTCTTTTTGTAAACTATTTTGTGAATTTGGATCAAAAGATCTAGTCGAAATCAAAACTGGTTGCTGAAAAGAAGATTCAAATTCAATCTTATCAGTCTAAGAAACCTTACCAGATCCACTTACACTAGAATTCAAGATCGGAGAATCATTGAGCTGACGATTTTGATCTCCAATGATCACTTCTTTGCAAGAGAGATTTCTAAGTTGACGAACATCATGAGATCCAAACATCTGAGGGTTTACCTAAGGATGAGGATCAACAAGAAAACTATCAGATCTAAGAATCTCATTCAACAATTTCTTCTTCTTCTAACCACGAGGTCCCGTTGACCCCATGATCTCTGAGCTCAAGATTTCATCATCATCATCAATTCTTGAAGCTGAATTATCCTCCAAGGATTGAGAACCAGAAATTGAATCTCGTAATCCTAATTTGAAGATTTTTTCCCACTGTTTCTCCTTTTTTCGCCATTTTTATTCTAGGCGGGGACACAAGTTAGCAAGGAAAAATCGCCTGCTAATGTGCACCAAGAAGAACCGCCATCTCCTTACACACACAATGCAATGTTGTCAATGTATTTTAAACTTACTATTATTGATTGATAATTACTTACAAGAATGTTCTTTACTATTAAGTAAACTAGTATTTAGACCCGTGCAAAGCACGGTTTCTAAAAGATTATCTACAAATATTGGACATGTTACCAAAATAAAGTATTCTGCTTTAGATATGAAATATTGGGGTGCTATTTGCTTTTTTTATTATTTGTTCAAATATTCGATCAAGTTTGATTCAATAGTTCATACAACACTAAACAAATAATTTGAAGTGTTTGGCTTATAAATGAATAGAATTTAACCAAATGCATGTTTGATTCGGTATACACTAACATTGTTAAACATAATAAATGATCTTGGTAACATGTTAAACAAAATAAATGATATATCTGAACATTGTAAAACATAATAAATGAGCATAACAAATAAAACTCAGTATACACTAAAATTTTGCGTGATAAGAGTAACACAACTTATATAACTTTCGGTTGAAATAAATTAAAAAGAACAAAATTAAAAATTAATCTATGTTAATATTACATAAACTTGAAAGTTATATAATATAAATATTACGAATTTACAATATTGAGGATACATAAACTTGAAAGTTATGTAATATAAATAATGATGATTTTTTTCTTATACTCAAAGAAGATCTTTTTCTTATACTCAAAGAAGATCTGAAAATGTGATTTTAGTTGGAAGCTTATTTTCTAACCTAGAGACGAATGTAAATCCTACAGAAAAAATAATTCTATCTACCTCTTTTTCTTTAGACTCTTTCAGGGTCTACAAAAATGTGGAAGCTTGGTTAGTGGTCGCAAGAGCTTAAACTGGATGAACCTAAACATAATTTAACTATCACCACCTACATTGAAGTCCTTACTATTCTCTCTATTGCTCAAACTTTTTTTGCTAGCTAGGAATTTAGCATGGACTTGAGTACTATCCCCCAGTTAAAATGTTCATGATCTATTGCCTTCAAGAAAATGGACATTGAATATTTCCCCAAACAAAATTTTGGTTCCACATATTCTAGCTATTAAAGCGTACCCTGCATATGAAAGAATTCCAAGTGTGCAATGGCAATGTCAATGGAAAATTCATTTCATACCTCATACTAAACTAAAACGCACATTACAATAGAAACTACTGATAATAATAAGAATAATACATCATAAAATCATCAAATACCTCCATCAATATCCCACCTTTGCTGCTTCCCTCAACCCCTTCAACCTCTCTCTCACCAAATCCATCGACCCATCAACCCATCAACCATGATCGCCTCCTCATATGCTCTTCTGGCCTCCTATATCATCCCCTTCCACTCATAACACTCTCCAAGCAATCACAATCCCTTCCCACTCCTCTCCCCAATATTCATCGCCTCCGTCAAATCCTCAATCGCCTGATCAACTCTCCTCCTCCTCTTCCCTACCCCCAAACTCAACTCCGCTCTCTTAATCAAAGCATCAGCCTTCTCCTTAGGCCCTAGGGTTTTCAATTGAGTAGAAGAAAGGGCAACATCAAGGGATTTGAGAGCAGGAATCCTGTGACCCTCAAGATTTAGAGCTAGGGCTTTGAAGATGTGGGGAGCGACATCGCGGGGTTCGAGGGCAATAGCGAGGTCGGCGGAGGAGATGGAGGATTTGATTAGGGTTTGGGAGGGAGGGGATTGGGACCAGGCTCGGGCTAGGGTTTAGGCTCCGGAGAGGAAGTGGCGGCGGCCTTGGATGGTGGTTGAGTTTTGCTGGCGGTGGCGGCGGTATAGGGAGATGAAGCGGTTGGGGAGAAATTGGAGGAAGAAGATGGAGAAGACGCCGATGACGATGAAGAGACCTTGGATATTAAGGATTCAGAGCTCGCCATTGATTTTAGTTGCTCGCTTCTCTGCTCCTCCCATTATTTCAACTTTTGATCTGCTTACCGCGTGGGTGTTGTTGGTGATAAGCCTGCATTGCTTTCTTTTTTTCCCCTTTTTTGCAGAGGTTAGTGGTGATGGCAGAGGTTATTGGTGATGAGAGAGATACATAAGGGAAGGGATAGAGTGGAGGTTTGCAGGAGTTATATGACACCTGCGAATGAACGTGGAGGACGTGAGGAGGCGTGGTTAGTTAGACATGCGTGTTGGAAGGACTTATTATCAAGGACGTGAGGACATAATTTTTTTGAGGTGATGATGTGCCTCTGTCTGATTGGTCCACATCAGATTTACTGTTCATAGGAGCTTTTTGAGTGTTCTCTTTTAGTTAATAAGAAGTAGATTTTAGTTAGACTATAAGATATTGATAATTGCTCATCTACATGTCTACTCTCATTTTTGTATAGAAATATTAAAAAAAGTGACATAATTTTGTACCATTATCCCAATTCTAGTTTTGCTAGAACCAATGATAAGGTTTGGGATAATTAGACACCCTCCAATTATCAATTAATTGAAGTGCATTCGAATCCATGTGTATAATTGTTGCTGTGGTAAAATCTAGAACATGTCAATAGGAATCAATTATAGCTACACGGAAATTTGATTTCACGAAACCATGATCTCTCAATAAAAGAGTAAGTAGTTCCTAACCCGGATCCTGTCCGGGCTTCCTGTGGGTGCATGGAATCTAGCTTAGGTACCTAGCTTGATAAATGCTGACGTTGATTACTCGGTTTATTTCAGGGTTGACATGTAGATGAGCCAAACCTAGTTTTTAGCTTTGATTTATTATTTTTAGCCTGACAATACAAGTTAATTGAGGTCTATCGCGACTAGCTTGAATTGAATC